AAATCTTTTCTCATTCTTTAGAGCACAATAGGAATTTTAAAAAGGACCTCCCAAGATATTTTTCACTCACTAAAAATGTTTTGTTTATTTCCAAACCTGTGCAACACAATTTTACAGATCAAGAAAACAGACGGACAGCAATTTTGTAACAAAGCCAAATAAAGCAGCAACACACTCAACACAAGACGAGACCGTTTTGGACCAGAACCTCAAAAAGGACAACGCAAAAACAATACAGCCGGGATGTAACACGATACAATATCATTTGGTGTAATGCAAACACAGACACACACACACAAGGTTTAAGGTTCAACTTTATTATCCCCTCAGGGAATTTGTTGTAGGCTCACAGCTGTTGGACACACACACACACACAACACACTCTCAACATCAGGACAATCGGCTCATCTGCACAATTTCAACACAATAGGCCACAATACCGCACAGTCCCATCAATACAAGGATACCAATCAACATACCAGTTAAACACCATAATTTGACAATGGCCCAAACACACTCTTGACATTATTGAATCCGTTTTAAAGTTAATCAAGTCATGCATCTGAAGTTATTGTATGGACTAGAATAGTGCCTAAAGTGCATCAGTCTCAGCGGTACAACCCCCAATGCAAGCCATTTAGAGCTCACCATTTTCAAAAGAATGATGTAGTCGCAGTCATGGGGGGGAAAGCATTCACGCGGCGCACAGTAACAATACTTGGTGATATATGGTTCCCAGCTCTGGACTCGGTGTGCAGGCTTTACGGGGCTCTCTGTGGGAAGCAGGTGTTGGAACAGCTGGAGGTGGAACCTGAGTCTCAGAAGATCCAGAGCGTCACCAGACACCGCCACACAGGAGGGTAGGCCTGTAGTGCCATCCATCTCACTCTGGTCCCCGAAACTCCTGGGCAACTTTACTTTGGCGTAAAATGATAATAATGCATCGGATTTATATAGCGCTTTTTGGACACTCAAAGATGCTTCACATGTCATTATTCTTTCACTCCATACACAGTGGGTTATAAACTACTATTGTAGCCACAGCTGCCCTGGGGCACACCGACAGAAGCCCCATTGGCTCCACACACAAGAATCCATCTAATGTGGGTGAAGTATCTTCACGGCGGCACGGTGGCTGAGTGGATAGCACTCTCGCCTCTCAGCAAGAAGGTCCTGGGTTTGAATCCCGGTCGGACCAGGGCCTTTCTGAGTGGAGTTTGCATGTTCTCCCCGTGTCTGCGTAGGTTTCCTCCGGATACTCCGGTTTCCCCTACCACTAAAAATATGTCCAATAGTTCTAGCATGCGCCTCCTGTACTGGCGACCCTGCTCCCATCTCTGTGTGGAGTGAGAGACAAATGCCCAAAAATTAACAATTGTAAACCACTTTGAGACTCAGATCTGCAGTGAAAAGGCGGTATATAAATAAAAACTTACTTACTTACTTACTATCTTGCCTAAGGACACAACAGTTTGGCACTTTACAGCCACCTCACTGTGTCACCTGGTGTTCCCAGAGGTCTTCCACCATAGTACTAACCAGGTCCTGTCCTGCTTAGCTCCAAAGGTCTGACGAGATCAGGCTTTCACATGTGGGTATGGCCACGTTGAACTTGAATGAGTTGCAAATGAGTTTTAGTAAACTTTGCCAATCAGACTTAACTTAGAAAAATGTAATATCCCATTTCTACCACATGATGGCAGTGTCGCACTTTCTAGTCACTATTTTTTGTGGAATCGTATTCATCCAATTTGGAAAGTAGCCCCTGAAATTGTTTTCAATGAACATTTACTTGAAAGCATTAATGGTAGGGGTTAATATGATTTATTTAGCACCCTTGAAATGAATGTGTCAGGGTTAAAGCGGAAAAGGCCGATTTGAACATAAGCTAGCTCGAGCCAATTTCCTTTATATGAGCATTTCTTCTGCGGCGTTAGCTTAGCACTGTAGCAGGAGCAGATGTGTTGCTAAGAAAGTTGCTGGAGTTTCCCCCACAAATGAAGGCATCTGATTGGTCATTCCTTTATAGGACTCATCTGGATTTACAAAGACAATAACACAATAATAAACACCAGGATCACAGAGCGCTAAGCCACAGCATTTTTTCAAGCTCAAAATAGTGAGAGACTCACGGTTACTGGGCTAGAGGAGTTTACTTTTCATGTAAGTCAATAGGAGCCAGACTGAGTTGGAGCAAAACTTTATCCATGAGCACTTCATTGAGCTTGCAGTTTAACATCGTCTATCTAGATACAGTCTATAGAAATGCAAGACCCCAGCAATCGAACCCAAAACCTAACTGCTGTGTCACAAGGTTGTAGATCCCGGACTCGGGCTGTGGATCCCGGACTCGGGCTGTGGATCCCGGACTCGGGCTGTGGATCCCGGACTCGGGCTGTGGATCCCGGACTTGGGCTGTGGATCCCGGACTCGGGCTGTGGATCCAGGACTGAGGCTGTGGATCCAGGACTGAGGCTGTGGATCCAGAGCCTCCAATCCCCCCAAATACTGTGTGCGTGTTCTCTGGAGTGATGATTGTGAACATGCAGGATTGTGGAGAGATCAGATTTGGATCGGTCAGTCAGGCGTCGCTGATACTCCCACACTGCAGCTGTTTTAATCAGTATCTTGGCTGCATATTAATCACAATCACACACACACAAGTTAATTTGGAAGAGTTTTTTCACAGACCACTCTTTCCTGATTCTATGAGCTGTGGGTAATATGGCTTCAATCAAAGCTTTGTCATGCACGCTTTCATGATTGTGCAAAATCACCTTTTCAGGGACCCAAATGTTTCCTTCGCCTTGACCCTGATGTTGTTCTGATTCATGCATATTGTCCTGAATCCAAAACTCCAACCCAAAACGTGTGGGCCATTTGTAGCCAACAAGTTCATTAGTGCATGTGAGTCACAATAGGACTCTTTAGGCTGAGAGATTTAAAGAATAAATATTGGATTATTTGTGAAGATTCTAGTCTTAAGCATGTACTTCTACTTTGGCATTTCATCTATTAGAACAGAGGCCTCAAACTCTGAGCAATTGAGCATGAGGTTGATTCTGGGTGAGGCTGGGTCGCATTAAAGGGGTATGTTTATCACGTGTTTGTGTGTGTGCAAAATATACTGATTATAGGTGCAAGCGATCCATGCAGATAGACAATTACACCTTAAAATTGTCCACACTATTTCACTTGGCACATGCAGTTTAGCTCCTGGACTGATATACGTCTCAAACTCATCTCATTCTTTAACAGTAGAGTTTTTTAACTTGTTATTTGTTTATTGCCCATCATTTATATCTGTGACTTTTTATATACATTCATTGAATATGAGAATAGATATAATTTCTATGAACAACGATCAACAATGAATTAAACTTGATTCGGTGTAACTGCGGGCACACAGTTGTATAATAAAACATACAACTCTGACTGAAGAGATTGACTGGAGAGATTCTAAAACTTATTTGGGAGAAATACTTCTGAGGATTGGTCAGATGTAAGTTTCAGAGAAGAGTATTTATACTGAAGGTTGAGGTATAGTTCCTGATACAATAGATACTTTATTGATCTCCCATAAGAGAAATTCAAGTGTCCAGCAGCACAAAGACATCACTCCATACAAACAAAAATACATCATTCTAAAAGTTACTGACCGTAGTAATAAAGTTCAGCAGCACTTTGGGTCACAACAGCAGAGGTGGTGCAGCCGCTGGTGATGAGCTGCTTCCTCTGATTGATATTTGCAGAGTCTGCTTGGTTCGGACCATTTATTGATATTGTCGTGGATGGAAGCAAAAAACTGCAGGTGTTTGTGATGATGGAACATTCGTTTTTGCGTAATCTCCTCCTCTACATCTCTTCATGATGCTCTTCCCTCTGTTACAGTTGGTGACCAGCCGCGCCCACAATGAAGAGCCTCCAGTTCCGTAACATCGCTCCTAAGGCTCCGGCCGCGGTGCCCTCGTCCTCCCCCGCGCTCCCGACCTGCCTGCCCCCCTCCACGCTCCCCGAGGCCTGCACCGCATCCAGCCCTAACTCCATCATCGTCCCCGCCCAGAACTACGCGCTCATGCAGATTGCGGGCCAGGATGGAACCTTCTCTCTGGTGGCTCTCCCCAAATCTGTGTCCTCCCAAACATCCCAGCCGCAGCCACACACCAATAACCTCAAACTGCCCATCCCGCGGTACCAGCCCCCCCGCTGCAAAAGCAACACCGACAAGGCCAAGGCTCCTCCGACTCCCAAGGCTAGAAACGTGCCTAAAGCCACGGGTACGCAAACCAAGCTGCTGCCCAAAGTGCTCAAAGAGGAACTTTCAGACCGGCTCGTGTCTTTAGACCAGGCCTCTTCTGAGACCGTCTTGTGCCCCGCTTCTCAACTGGAACCAAAAGCGGAGTCCTCCCAATGCGCTGCAACTGCTGGCCTGGTCCAGAACATTCAGTACCCCGCCCCAGGGATCCAGACATCACCCGGGAAAGTTCCGGAGGAAGTCAAGGCAGCCGTTCAGTTGTGCCAATCGAAGCCGTCAGGAGGCCTCACCGTCCTGTCATCCACCGCCATCTTCAGCAAAGCGGTGCAGATCATCCCGTCACCACCCAAAGGGAAAGTGCCCATTCTGCCATACGCCAAAGTCAACAACGGCCTCATCCCAGCGTCGACGCTTTGCTCCACGACCACCGAGGACAGTCAAGCACCAGAACCGCAACAGAATCAAGTCAGAACTGGACTTTTCCCCATTTTAGGACCAGTGCAAAAGGCCACGGGAAAGAGGCGAGGTCGCAAGAAGAAGACGCTGGAGGACATCTTGGCCTTTGAGGCGCGCAAGAAGAGGTCGCTTTCCTTTTTCCGCCGGAGAGTCCCAGACAAGCCTCCCTCCATGACCCCGAGCAAAGAGAAGGAGGTGGACATCTCCAAGAAGTACCGCAGCATCCGGCCCAAGCCCATGCTGCTCATGGAGACCGTGCCTCAGCTGGTCGGCCTGCCCGCCCTGGCCGCACACAGGACGAGCCCGCCTCCAGCCTCGGTCGGCCTCCATCCGCCACATTCCCGACTGCACCGCTGTCCCACCTGCAGCCGCTCGTTCCAGTTCAAGCACCACCTGACCAACCACATGTACAGCCACTCCAACAGCCGGCCGTACGTGTGCCCTCTGTGCCGCAAAGCCTATGCACACTCGGGCAGCCTCAGCACGCACATGAAGCTGCACCACGCCGAGGTGCGCCCCCGCAGGGCCCTGTCCTGCGACTTCTGCCACAAGAACTTTGGATACGTGGGGGTCTACTTCAGCCACCTGCGTGAGGTCCACAAGGTGCTGCTCACCGTGGAGCCGTCCATCAGCCAGCATGAGGATCACACACACGGGTACAACTCCAACACAGATTATAATCCAAGTGTTTGTCTTGTTCAGTGTCCATTCAGTGTCTGAATCTGATCTGAAGTGTGAGATTATATAATGTACAGAGTGTGGGTTTATACCAAGTCCCAGTGATCAAAGATGGCGGCCTATTCAAATCAATGTCTTGTGCTCAGTGGCGCATGGAAAGATTTGCGGAACTCGCCCATATTTTGATAAAAGTTTGGATTTATAGAAAACCGATAGATTTAACTTGAAAAGAAAAGTTCCGGACGACAAGGAACACTAAAATCCCCAGAAAACCTTAATTTTATTAAAGCTGTATGTTCTCCGTCAGGTTCTCTGTCAGCTGAGGTTGAGTTGTTTAGTTTACATTGAGTTCTATGGGAATTTCTTCTGGGGAACACACATCCAGGTGTTGACACTAAACATAATAACAAGATACATTCATTCACAAACCCAAAAGAAACCATACATACTGTAAGTACAATGACCCAAGGAGCCCCTCCGAGCTCCGAGGACTTCAGGCAGAGGGGGGCTGAGCCCGTTGGACATTGTTGGGGACATTATAGGAACGTTGGAGAGCGGGTTAGGTCCGTGTGAACTTGTTGCACAGTATGCCTCAGTGTAGTGTTCCCTCTTGTGGTCATGGTGACTGGGTGACTTGAGCTGAACTGTCTTCTCTTCCTCAGGTCGATGGCGGAGGTGGGGGAGGAGGCCCGCGAGGACCCAGTGGAGCTGCAGATTAAGTGTGGCCGGTGCCAGGCCATCACGCCCACCTTTACCGACATGAAGATGCACCTACGCCACGTCCACGGAGAAGACCTGCCGCTAGACCGAGCTCTGCGCTACGGGCGCGAGGCCGAGGACGAGCTGGTCCAACACGCTGCGCACTACTGGAGACAGCTCAACCACAAGCGCAACGTGGTCAAGTGCGGCAGCTGCGACGCCGAGTTCTTCTCCTTCTCCAAACTCAAGAGACACATGCAGTCGCAGCACCTGGCTCAGGACGCCTCCCCAGAGCGAGGGGGAGGGCTGGGCCTGCTGTCCTCAGGGCGGGACGGCGCGGCGCTGAACTGTGTGCTGTGTAGAGACGTGTGTGAGAGCAGAGAGCGCCTCCTGCAGCACTGGAGCGAACTGCACCAGTGTGAGCAGCCTGCCCTGCTCTGGGACGCTCTGAGCGCATACACGGGACCAGAGGAGCTGGACACGCCTCACTTGAGCCCACGCTAAGACACACACAGGCTAAGACACACACAGGCTAAGACACACAGGCTAAGACACACAGGCTAAGACACACAGGCTAAGACACACACAGGCTAAGACACACACAGGCTAAGACACACACAGGCTAAGACACACACAGGCTAAGACACACACAGGCTAAGACACACACAGGCTAAGACACACAGGCTAAGACACACAGGCTAAGACACACAGGCTAAGACACACAGGCTAAGACACACAGGCTAAGACACACAGGCTAAGACACACAGGCTAAGACACACAGGCTAAGACACACAAAGGCTAATGCAAACACATCTTACTGGAGCCCTTTCTAACACATACGCTAACACGCATGCTAGCACATGCGTACACACACACACCTCACCTGAGCCCACGGCATCACATGCCTCACCCGGGCTAAAAAACACACACACCTCACCCTTGCTAACACACAAACACACCTCACCCACGGTAACACATACACTCTCATCTGAGCCCACGCCAATACACACCTCACACATGCTAACACACGCTCACACGCAAACACACACACCGTACCCGTGCCCATTTTTAAGTACTTTCAGTCGTCAGCAGTGTTTCTCACTTCAGCTGCAGTTCGAAGCGGAGTCCCAGGCCTTTCTGTGTTAAGTTTGCATGTTCTACCCGTGTCCGTGTAGGTTTCCTCCAGGTTCTCCAGTTTCCCCTACCACTTAAACATATACAATAGCTCTACTCTCTCTGGAGACGGGCCTCGCTGGTCAAAAAGACACATTTAAAAAGCATGGTTCACACAGAGAGCAGAGCTGACATTGTCCTGTCCAGGGGTAACACTGCTGCCCCCTACTGCACAGGAGGACTCCAGGACCAGGTCTGGGCCTCAGTCTGTAGTAAACGCTGCTGTGGCGTTGCGTTGCACTGTTCTTGTGACTGTACCATGTGCGTGTAGCTGTAACATATTGAAAGCATATTTAAAAGAGGTTTATGACTGAGCCGCTCTCACCTCACTGTGCTCACTTACATTGGACTTACTGTAGGTTACGGGTTTTCACTAAACACCAGTATGTTCCAGTGCTCCACTAAAGCAGGGCTGATAAACACATCCATTATTCCAAGGCTCTGGTTTGGATCTCTATCAGAACAGAGCTGAGTATATTTCTTTTCACACAATGTGGATCAAAGCACAGTACCACAGTTGATACCATGTGGATTCAAGCCAAGTCAAACACACTCGTCTGCTTCTCATTTATTTTATTTTTGATGCAATTGTCATTTTGGCCTTTTTGTGTGTGTCCTGAACTTCATTTGAACATCATCGATCAAGATTTCACATCCAGAACCAGCCCAAATGTTTCCATGCACACAACGTAGAGACTGTAATACAGGATTATGCACCATGAGAAAAGCTTCAGATTATTAAGAGTTAGATGGTATATATAAGATTATTTACAAACAGTATATTTTTATGATCACAGCCTAGTCTCTCAGAGATGTGGCCATCGGAACCAGAGCTGTCCGTGATGATCTGACCTCTGCCTGTTGGACTGGCCCACATCTCAGAGCAGGCGGGGGGGGGGCTGACCTCTGCAGACCACAGCCGCTAGTGTCTGGCCTGGCTACACACGGTGCCCCCCACATTGTCCTATGCACATACAAATATTTTCTACCAGATGTTGTTTTCATAGATGAGTCTAGCTCTGTATACAGTGTGTGTGTGTGTGTGTGTGTGTGAGGCATGTTCTTGTGTGAATTCCTGCGTTTGCTAATGATCTAGAGCAGTGTGTTGATTGTGTCAAAGCTGAGCACTTCTATCTGTGTGTATCTGTGTGTAGCCAGGCCTCGTGAGTGTGTAGGAATCGTCTGTTCCAGAAAATATGCTATTTTATACTTTTACAGACCAGAGCTCGATAGAATGTCCTCTTGCTGGTCACTACGTTCACATGCACATCAGGGTCCATGGATACCTGGTCGGATCTGGTCGGACCTGGTCGGACCTGGTCGGACCTGGTCGGACTCACATTCTGAAAGCACAAACTGGTGGAGAAAAGGCCAGGGCGCCACGAGATTGGTTTTAGATCAAAACTCCCTCCACCGCAGGCTGGTTTCGTCGCCAGAATCCACCCATTTCCTCAGGTCTTCAGGTTGAGACAGGACTCACTTGGGGAGATGGGTGGAGTCTGGTCTGCTCTTGCTTGGTTTTTGGTTGGAATGAAAACCTGCTTCCCCTCTGACTTTTGAGGACCCAGTGGACTCCATCTCATTCAACAGTCTAGTCTGCGTCTGATGACATGACTGAACAGACTGACAGAGTTTGTGGTCCAGATCTTGCTTCCGCTCTCGTCCGGGTCTCGGTCCGGTCTCTTATTGTAAAGTGCTTTGGGTGACCTTGGTCTGTAATAATGCGCTTTCTAGAAAAAGCTAACTTACTTACTTGGTCCAGGTCCGGGTCTGGGGCTGTGTCTCGGTCTGAGTCTCGGTCCAGGTCTTGGTCCAGGTCTTGTTCCGGGCGTCTGTCCGGGTCTCTGTTCGTGTCTTGGTCTGCGTCTTGGTCCATGTCGGTCGGTACAGGCCTCAATCTCGGCCCCAGTCTCGGCCTTAGGTCTCAGCCCACGGTCTCGGTCTCGGCCCCGGTCTCTGCCCTGGTCTCGGCCCTGGTCTCTGCCCCGGTCTCGGCCTTAGGTCTCGGCCTTAGGTCTCGGCCCCGGTCTCGGCCCCGGTCTCGGCCTTAAGTCTCTGCCCCGGTCTCGGCCGCGGTGTTGGCCCCGGTCTCGGCCCCGGTCTCGGCCCCGGTCTCGGCCCCGGTCTCGGCCTTAAGTCTCGGCCCCGGTCTCGGCCTTAAGTCTCGGCCCCGGTCTCGGCCTTAAGTCTCGGCCCCGGTCTCGGCCTTAAGTCTCGGCCCCGGTCTCGGCCTTAAGTCTCGGCCCCGGTCTCGGCCCCGGTCTCGGCCGCGGTCTCGGCCGCGGTCTCGGCCCTGGTGTCGGCCCCGGTCTCGGCCCCGGTCTCGGCCTTAGGTCTCGGCCTTAGGTCTCGGCCCCGGTCTCTGCCCCGGTCTCGGCCCCGGTCTCGGCCCCGGTCTCTGCATGTGGACGTAGTGTGAGGCCGTTCTAGGCCGTTCTAACATGTGCCATTCTTACACAGATGCTTGTTTCGTGGCGTTTGTTTGTCGTCTTTGATATGAAGAAAAAAACAGGGTTATGTGAATGTATCTGAATGTTTAAAAACACCAAAAGTATAAACATGTTATATAGAGTACATCTATAGATATATACAGCTATTCAAAGTACACATATATATTTCCTTAGGGCCCGTAGCTGCTATGTGCTGTCCAGTAGAGGGTTATTCAGACTGTATGATGAGTACAAGCCATGTGGAGCTGGCCTGCTGCTGCCGGAGCACAGGGACACGCCGACCAGGAGGTGGCAGCAGCGAGGCCAAAACGCTCTCCTCAGATGGACCCAGACTGAGAGGAAGACTGTTAGCACAAGTTCAGGGCATTCACCTTATTACAGAGGCGAGAGGAAAACACAGCTCCGGGTCCACGCTGGAGCATTACATTTAAACTTTTAATATCAAAACTTGGTAATCAAAATCCACAAATAACATCATAGGAATTTGATAATTTTATCATATGTATAGTTCCGATAACCAGTGCCAGGGTCATCTTTAGTCCCTCTTGGTCCTGGTTCTATCCAGGCTGAGCTGGTACTAAAGTGTTCTAACTGACAGTGATTGGTGACTGTTGGTGCTGGAAGCCATGGTTACCAAGAAATTTCCATGGTTACTGATTTGTTGTGAGTAGGTTGCTACGATACGGTACCAGATACTGAAACGTTATGGAAACACAACCAGGTAGAGCCGAGCCGAGCAGGTGGAAACGGGGCTAAACACACGATTACTCACTGCACTTTATCCACCCATTTTCTTCCACTTTATCCGCCCCTGGGTCCCTCTCCACACACTCACATCTCCTGCTCATCTGGGGGAATCCTGAGGCTGAGAGACAGTCCCTTTCGATCACTGCACTTTAGTCTGGGACAAAATAGCGATTATACCGTTAGTCCGAGTTAGCACGTTAGCACATTAGCATCTCAGGTCTGGCTCCTCACTCCAGAAACAACATACACTGGGAAAATAGTTTTTTTTTAATTAATATTTTATTCAGCAATACAAAAAAAGAGACCAACAAGTGACGGCGCAATAAAATACAAAAAAATAGACCCGTTGCAGCGAAGTTCCGACTTTTAACAGGAAGCAAAAGGGGACATAGAGGAAACTTTTCACAAAACGGTTTACCAAATTACTATAAAGTTGTTTTTAAACTGCAGAAGAAGCCGTCGGTCTCTAGAACTTTGAATAAAACTTTACTATAGCGTTTCTGAAGCTGGACCTTTACGTTTTGAAAGACTTCGGAGGAATAAGGTGAATGTTCTGAACTGAAGCGTGTGATGTAGAAGCCACTTTGCTGTTGGGCTGTTTGTGACTGAACGTGTGTCGTGTTGTGACCGCTGTGAACCTGATGCCCTCATGTTTATCAATAAAATATTCTGCTCTGATTCTTCTTTCTCTCACTTTCATTACATTTCTCAACTTGGTGCAGTACAGACCCAGTACTTTTTATTTAGACAGGGTTTTAACGGTTGAATTGGGCCCGAGTGCAGCTGTGTTTGTGACTTCTGCAGCTGTTTTAATACTTGCTTTTCCTGTAGCACTTGGAGAATAAAAAACTTGAATAAAATGTATTATGATTATTATAATTATTATTAGCTAATTAACCTGTAAATAAGCCGCACCAAAAAGTACATGATGTCCACTTAAAGGCTGCACCTGAATATAAGCCGCAGGTTTCATGTTGTCAAAATATTAACTAAGCCCAACTCTCTTACAATAAAAAATATACATTGCATTGCACCGCTGTGTTAGTGCTGACCTGGCTCAGTGATAAAACAAAATACCCTAAATATTTTTTTTCTGCCCTTTTTGATTTTTCCTAACTTGACCAGCCTGTTAGACCCAGTTTAGCTTAAATTTCTCCTGCTTTTAATGACTGTGGCGGGTTGTTTTGACCCGAGGACAGCACAAAGGTTTAAAGAACTTGAAAACACTCAACATTACCAGGTCTTATCCAGAGCACATGGAGGCACCAATAGACTCTAACCTTTTTGATTCTCTGATCTGATGTTGGTGGATCGACAACTTTGTGAAGTCCTCTGAGAAAACTGGTGTTATTCAGTGGTCCCTCGCTACTGTCTATCCTGTGGCGTTACTGGAAAATGCATGACAGTTACCTTTACTGGGCACGGTGGCTGAGTGGGAAGCACTCTCGCTTCTCAGCAAGAAGGTCCTGAGTTTGAATCCCAGTTGGAATAGGGCCTTTCTGAGTGGAGTTTGCATGTTCTCCCCGTGTCTGTGTAGGTTTCCTCCGGGTGCTCCGGTTTCCCCTCCCACTAAAAACATGCGCAATAGGTCTGAATGTAATGAGGAACGAACGGATGGTGTTGATCGGAGCTTTGATGGACCAGTGTGTTCGGCGACTCGCTTCCATCATCACCGTGTGTGGAGAGAATGGAATAACTAGTCTCTGAACAATTGTAAAGTTCTTTGGGTGACCTTGGTCTGTAAAATGCGCTATATAAATAAACCTTAGTTACTTACTTTATTTATTTGGAATAGATGTTTCAGGGCTGTAGGGATTTTACAGCCTTCAAACAGGCGGCTGCTACTTCAAGGGTTTTGAGATTTTAAGAACGTAACCTCTGCGATAAACAAGAGACCACTGGACACAAATAAATTGATCCATCCATCCATCCATTTTCTACCCTTTAATCCATTTCTGGGTCAGGGGGGTGGCAGTCAGAGATGCCACCCAAGTCTCATAGCACCAGCCCCTCACTGACCCTCTGCAGGTGGTGAGTCCACAGGAGGACGGCTGCTCTCTGACTGTGAGCATAGCCTTGATCTTTCAGTGGGGGCTTTGGGCAAAGTGGGGTTAAGTGTCTTGCCCAAGGACACAACGACAGCAGTCATCAGTGGGAGTCGATGGAGAAGGTGCAGAGGTGGGAATTGAAATTCAAATAAATTGAATCCTATCGAATTGAACGACTCAAACAAAACATTTACACGTTAGAAGGGAAAACCCAGTCATAAATCAGTTAAAAGCTCCAAAGATTTTTTTTAATGTCATAAAATGTAAAACTTGGATATGGGTGGATTGGTTTTACGTCCAAAGTGCTGCAGTTTGAGCTGTATTTAAACAGCTCATTAGCTTCTTTTACCTGCGGCTAGCTCGTGCGCTCTTGCTAACGTGCACACAAATGGACACAAAGCAATATGAGCTAATCAATTACAGCGCTAATTGTTATGGAAGCGCGTAGCTCGTGATGAAGACAGATTGGGGAGCGTCAGGAGGAGGCTGCTAATTGATATGTGGAGGTGAGCGTATGTAGGTTAGCTCTGGGCGGTGGAGCTCGCTAGCTGCTCCTCCTCCAGATGTCTGGCTCCGGCAACGGTTGGATTCGGTGAGAGTCGGTGAATTACAGCAGCAGAGCAGAAAGAAAATCTGTTCACGTCGGGAGAAAAACGAGACGTGGACTGTGAGCTTTAGGTGATGGCGTAGGTCGGCTGTGGAAACAAAATCTACTCTGGTAACCGTAAACGCCTCTGGAGATGGAAGACGCCAAGGTTCAAGAAGTTATGTTCAATGATATTTATTTCCCAAACGCAATACTCGTGAAACCAGAGCTCTGGTCCAGTGTCGATGGCCGATGGTCCTGTTCGCACATGGTCCACACCAAGCTAACATCAGGCATTCAACAATACTTCTTCACTGTATTATCCAAGAGAGAAACCAGAGAGAGATACCAGAGAGATATAGCAGAGAGAGATACCAGAGATAGAGAGAGACCAGAGAGAGCGAGGGACTAGAGAGAGAGAGACCAGAGAGAGATACCAGAGATAGAGAGAGACCAGAGAGAGCGAGGGACTAGAGAGAGAGAGACCAGAGAAAGACCAGAGAGAGAGCAAAGAAAGAGATCAGAGAGAGCGAGATAGCAAGAGAGACCAGAGAGAGACCAGAGAGAGAGAGAGATCAGGGGGAAAGAGGGACCATTTAATTCAATTTATTTGTGTACAACAATCCTAAATCAGTTGTCTCAGAGGACTTCCCAAAGTTGTTGTTATGCCTATAATCAAACAGGAAAAGTAACTATAACAAACACAGGTAATGGTCCACAGGGAGCGGGAAGACCACTGTCCCTAAAACCTGCTGCATCAGAGAATGGATCCAGGACTGAGGCTGTAGATCCAGGACTGAGGCTGTAGATCCAGGACTGAGGCTGTAGATCCAGGACTGAGGCTGTAGATCCAGGACTGAAGACCTGGATCTACAGGTCTCACTAACGTGTCCTGGAACACGCACACGCACACGCACACACACACACACGGCACTAACTCCTGATGCATATTCCCTTTAATCAGAGGCAGTTTTCAGTCTCTCCTCTGGGGGACTTCAAAGTCCAGAGACCTCACACCTCCGCTGGGGCACCTCCGCTGGGGCACCTCCGCTGGGGCACCTCTGCTGGGGCACCTCTGCTGGGGCACCTCCGCTCCGGCTGCATGTGGCTTCATGTGGGGGAGTTGGATCATCCAGTATGTGTGTATTGTGCAGATGATTTTCTGGGAAAAGTTTCCAGAACTCAAACTCATCTTGTTAAAGTTGTTCCTCTCTCTTTGTTGTTTCCATAGCGATTGCTTCATGTTTGCATCACGTCTAGTGAAAAAGAAAAAAAGACTTTTGCCTTTCTCTGATACTTTATTCTCTTTTTTCCTTTCTCTAATACTTCCATCCATCCATCCATTTTCTTCCGCTTCATCCGTTGCCGGTCGCAGAGGCAGCAGTCTAAGCAGAGACGCCCAGACTTCCCTATCCACACACACTTCCTCCAGCTCGTCCGGGGGGACCCCAAGGCGTTCCCAGGCCAGCTGAGAGACATAGTCCCTCCAGCGTGTCCTAGGTCTTCCGCGGGGCCTCCTCCCGGTGGGACGTGCCCGGAACACCTCCCCAGGGAGGCGTCCAGGAGGCATCCGGAACAGATGCCCGAGCCACCTCAACTGGTTCCTCTCGACGTGGAGAAGCAGCGGCTCTACTCCGAGCTCCTCCCGTGTGACTGAGCTCCTCACCCTATCTCTAAGGGAGCGCCCAGCCACTCTGCGGAGGAAGCTCATTTCGGCCGCTTGTATCCGCGATCTCGTTCTTTCGGTCATTACCCACAGCTCATGACCATAGGTGAGGGAGGGAACGAAGATTGACCGGTAAATCGAGAGCTTTGCCTTTCGGCTCAGCTCCCTCTTTACCACAACGGTCCGATACAGCGACCGCATCACTGCGCACGCTGCACCGATCCGCCTGTCAATCTCACGCTCCATCCTTCCCTCACTCGTGAACAAGACCCCGAGATACTTGAACTCCTCCACTTGAGGAAGGACCTCTTCACCCACCTGAAGAGGGCAAGGCACCTTTTTCCGGTCGAGCACCATGGCCTCGGATTTGGAGGTGCTGATTCTCATCCCAGCCGCTTCACACTCGGCTGCAAACCGTCCCAGTGCATGCTGCAGGTCCTGGTTCGTTGGAGCCAACAGGACGACATCATCCGCAAACAGCAGAGATGAAATCCTGTGGTCTCCGAACCGGACCCCCTCCGACCCCTGGCTGCGCCTAGATATTCTGTCCATAAATACAGTGAACAGAACCGGTGACAAAGGGCAGCCCTGTCGGAGGCCAACATTCACCGGGAACAGGTCTGACTTACTGCCGGCAATGCGAACACAGCTCTGGCTCCGGTCATACAGGGATCGGATGGCCCTCAGCAGAGGACCCCCGACCCCGTACTCCCGGAGAACCCCCCAAAGGACACCCCGGGGAACACAGTCGAACGCCTTCTCCAAATCCACAAAACACATGTGGACAGGTTGGGCGAATCCCATGAACCCTCGAGTATCCGATGGAGAGTATAGAGGTGGTCCAGTGTTCCGCGACCGGGACGAAAACCACACTGCTCCTCCTGGATCCGAGATTCGACCATCGGCCGTAACCTCCTCTCCAGTACCCTGGAGTAGACCTTACCGGGGAGGCTGAGGAGTGTGATCCCACGATAATTGGAACACACCCTCCGGTCCCCCTTCTTGTAGAGAGGGACCACCACCCCGGTCTGCCACTCCATTGGCACTGCCCCCGATCGCCACGCGATGTTGCAGAGACGTGTCAGCCAAGACAGTCCTACAACATCCAGAAACTTTAGATAATCAGGGCGGATCTCATCCACACCCGGAGCCTTGCCACCATGGAGGCTACCAACCACCTTGGTGACCTCAGCCAGGGAGATGGATGTACCCGCCTCAACATCCTCAGCCTCTGCCTCTGTAACAGAGGACGTGACGGGGGGGATTGAGGAGAACCTCAAAGTATTCCTTCCACCGCCCGACAATATCCCCAGTCGAGGTCAGCAGCCCTCCACCCGCACCGTACATGGTGTTGGCAAAGAACTGCTTCCCCCTCCTGAGGCGCCGGATGGTTTGCCAGAATCTCTTCGAGGCCGACCGATAGTCATGCTCCATGGACTCTCCGAACTCCTCCCAGTCCCGGGTTTTTGCCTCTGCAACAGCCCTGGCCGCGGCACGCTTGGCCTGCCGGTACTGGACAGCTGCCTCAGGAGTCCCCCGAACCATCATTGCTCGATAGGACTCCTTCTTCAGCCTGACAGCATCCCTTACTGCCGGTGTCCACCACCGGGTTCGGGGGTTGCCGCCGGGACCAGCACCAGAGACCTTGCGACCACAGCTACGAGCCGCCGCATCGGCGATTGAGGAAGAGAACATGGTGCACTCGGACTCCATGTCCCCCTCCTCCGCCGGGACCTGGGAGAAGCTCTCCCGGAGGTGCGAGTTGAAAGTCCGTCTGACAGGGGGCTCAGCGAGACGTTCCCAGCAGACCCTCACTATACGCTTGGGTCTGCCAGGTCTGACCGGCTTCTTCCCCTGCCAGCGGATCCAACTCACGACCAGGTGGTGATCGGTTGACAGCTCCGCCCCTCTCTTTACCCGAGTGTCCGAGACACGCGGTCGAAGGTCAGATGATACGACAACAAAGTCGATCATCGACCTCCGGCCTAGGGTGTCCTGGTGCCACGTGCACTGGTGGACACCCTTGTGCTCGAACATGGTGTTCGTGATGGACAAACTGTGACTGGCACAGAAGTCCAACAACTGAACACCGCTCGGGTTCAGATCAGGGGGGCCGTTCTTTCCGATCACCCCTCTCCAAGTGTCACTGGCGACTCCCACATGGGCGTTGAAGTCCCCCAGGAGAATAACGGAGTCCCCGGGCGGTGCACCGTCCAGTACCCCTCCCAAGGACTCCAAGAAGGCCGGGTACTCTGCACTGCTGTTAGGCCCGTAGGCCGTCACAACAGTGAGAGACTTGTCCCCCACCCGGAGGCGGAGGGACGCGACCCTCTCATTCACCGGGGAGAACTCCAACACGTGGCGGCTGAGATGGGGGGCAATGAGTATGGCCACCCCAGCTCGCCGCCTCTCCCCGCGGGAAACTCCAGAAAAGTGGAGCGTCCAACCCCTCTCAAGGAGTTGGGTTCCAGAGCCCAAGCTGTGTGTGGAGGTGAGGCCGACTATCTCTAGTCGGTATCGCTCAACCTCCCCCACGAGCTCGGGCTCCTTCCCCCCCAGTGAGGTGACGTTCCACGTCCCAAGAGCCAGATGTTGTGTGTGCGGACTGGGTCGCCGAGGTCTCCGCCTTCGACTGCCGCCCAGTCCTCTTAGCACCGCGCCACCACGGACCCCTCTGCAGGTGGTGGGCCCACAGGAGGGACTGCCCACGTCATCCCTTCGGGCTGGGCTAAGGCCCGGCCACCAGGCGCTCGCATACAAGCCCCGACCCCAGGCCTGGCTCCAGGGTGGGGCCCCGGCTGCGCCATGCCGGGCGACGTCACTGCTCTCATTATAGTGCGATCCATGGTGGTTTTTGGACTGCGCTTCGTCTGACTCGTCACCTGAGACCTGTCTGCCATGGGAGGCCCTACCAGGGGCATGAAGCCCCAGACAGCATAGCTCCCAGGGTCATCTGAGTACTCAAACTCCCCCACCACGTTAAGGTGGCAGTCCGGGGGGACTGCCTTTCTCTAATACTTTATTAGCACATCATTGCTCAAAGGGAAAAATCTGCTGATCGCTGACTTTACCTGTGGTCTGAGTGGACCCAGCGAGGCCTTTGATGTGACCGCTCAATGGACTCTGAATACACAAGTGTGAGTCGTCTCTTATTCCAATATTTTAGATCATTTTTTAGATTCAGATTATTATTTTGTGATGTGTTTTTAATGAAAAAGATATAAAAACGATTAGTTTTTTTGACGGACTGTACTTTATCAAAACTGTCAGAGTGAAGGAGCGGGACTCATCATGACCCAAGAGATATGTGTTAACATTTATGGACATGGGTGAGATCAGAGAGAAGAAAGAGACCAGAGAGAGACCAGAAAGAGACCTGAGGGAGAGAGACCAGAGAGAGAGACCAGAGAGAGAGAGACCAGAGAGAGAGAGACCAGAGAGAGACCAGAGAGAGAGAGACCAGAGAGAGAGAGACCAGAGAGATAGACCAGAGAGAGAGAGACCACAGAGAGAGACCAGAGAGAGAGACCAGAGAGAGAGACCAGAGAGAGAGACAAGAGAAGACAACATTATAAAATCCTGTCTATTCTAGTGCTGTAAATGTATATTTGTATGTTTACATATGACACATTCTGACATGGCTAAAAGTAAGATTAGATCAGATTCAACTATCTAAAATTGCTCAAATTAAGAAACATTTTGCCTAATATGAGCTTTTTTTTATTCAACTTAATTTTCATCATTTGTTGCAGCTGTGCTTTACAGTCTGCCACTTCTCTACAACCCGCCCCGGGCCCCACGCCACTCCAGAGCGTATCCAGTTCCCCTCGCCATCCCAAACCACACGCTCGATACGTGCTCCATGTTGGCTCCAGTGTCATGTGACCGGCCCCTGACATCCTGAGAGGAGGCTCCGTGAACGCTCCCACCGCGACCCTCTCCGCCGACCCCCTTATGGTTATGTTGTCGTGGCAACTGTGGCGGCCATCATGGTGAACACTTGGTACAAAGCTGCAGCGAGAGAGTCAGAAAATGTTCTAAAAGTGGACTTGACAGAGGGGTTAGAGTGATACTGTCCTCGTTCTACAGTCTGAGTCCTGGTTCTACAGCCGGTCCATCTGTGAAAGCGGATCCTTCCTTCAATGTGGATCTCCCTGAGGTTTCTCACTGATCAGACTGGGGAACATCCAGCCAACTTCAGCCCAATCACTATAGGCCTGTTATACCTCATTGTAAAGCTCAGAACCTCTAACTGTATAATCTGACATTTGTTTTTCATGGTCACAACATGTTGCTAATGTAGCTGGTCCACTGTTCATTTGTCATTCAGCCAACTTCAGCTCTGTCTTAGCTCAGAACAGCCTGGAATCAGTCAAAACAGTGTTAGAATCCGGGCTGTCGGCCCCTGGACTAGTCTGGTGAACTGAAGTGACCCTCTGACTATAAAAGTGTGGACACCTCTGATCCAAGGCGAGAAGACCAGGGTTTTGGGTACCAGATGCAGACCATGTAGGAGAGACCAGAGCGGCTCGTTTCATCCTGCGGCCGGAGAATGTGTGGCTACAACACACAGACTGTAGATAGATACTTTATTGATCCCCGTTGGAGAGTGACGGAGCGGGACTCATCGTGGTCCCTGAGATATTTATTAACATTTATGGGCTTTGATGAGATCAGGGAGAACAGAGAGACCAGAGCGAGACCAGAGAGAGACCTGAGAGACCAGAGAGAGACCAGAGAGAGGCCAGAGAGAGAGACCAGAGAGAGACCAGAGAGAGACAAGAGAGAGCAGAGAGAGGCCAGAGAGAGACCAGAGAGAGACCAGAGAGAGACCAGAGAGAGCAGAGAGAGAGCAGAGAGAGGCCAGAGAGAGACCAGAGAGAGAGACCAGAGAGACCAGAGAGAGACCAGAGAGAGGTCAGAGAGAGACCAGAGAGAGACCAGAGAGAGACCAGAGAGAGACCAGAGAGAGACCAGAGAGAGACCAGAGAGAGAGCAGAGAGAGAGCAGAGAGAGACCAGAGAGAGAGCAGAGAGAGAGCAGAGAGAGAGCAGAGAGAGAGCAGAGAGAGAGCAGAGAGAGACCAGAGAGTAGAGAGAGAGACCAGAGAGACCAGAGAGAGAGCAGAGAGAGAGAGTAGAGAGAGAGACCAGAGAGACCAGAGAGAGAGCAGAGAGAGAGCAGAGAGAGACCAGAGAGAGACCAGAGAGAGACCAGAGAGAGAGAGAGACCAGAGAGAGACCAGAGAGAGAGAGAGAGTAGAGAGAGTGACCAGAGAGAGCAGAGAGAGAGACAAGAGAGAGACAAGAGAGAGACCAGAGAGATAGCAGAGAGAGAGAGTAGAGAGAGAGACAAGAGAGAGACAAGAGAGAGAGAGAGACCAGAGAGAGACCAGAGAGAGACCAGAGAGAGACCAGAGAGAGACCAGAGAGAGAGCCAGAGAGAGAGAGAGAGAGAGACCAGAGAGAGAGACCAGAGAGAGAGACCAGAGAGAGACCAGAGAGAGACCAGAGAGAGACCAGAGAGAGACCAGAGAGAGAGACCAGAGAGAGAGACCAGAGAGAGAGACCAGAGAGAGAGACCAGAGAGAGACCAGAGAGATAGTGCAGGTGTCCAGCAGCAGAAATTCTAAAAGTTAATAACCAAAATGATAATGGGCAACAGCCCTTTAGGTCCCAGCAGAGGTGGTGCAGCCGCTGGTTGATGTTTGCAGAGTGTGCCTGGTTCGGACCATTGTCTCTGCTCTGGTTCCTGGTCCCAGTCCTTCCTCCTGGTGATGATCTCAGTTTCAAAGCTCCGGATCAGATCAGCGAGGTAATGAGCGGCAGGCCGGGCGGCTGAATAATGGATGAGAGGCATCGATCTGAGGGGGACAGGGAAGAGACACCTGAGGGAGGGGGGGGTCATGAGGGGGGAGGGGGGGGGTCTCCACTGAGATTGTTTACTTTACTCCACTGAAAAACAAGTTCGATCTCTGCTCTGTAAGAGGATTCATCGTTATCGCTGATGAGACCAATGAAGGTGGTGTCATCAGCATATTTAATAATCAAGTATGAGTCAGAGGAGGACACACTGTCGTGAGTGTACAGAGTAAAGAGCAGAGGACTCAGAATGCATCCTCGGGGAGACCCTGATTTAGGGCGATACACAAAGAAATTGATTTGAATCTTATGGTGCATTTACAAAACTATGGAGAGTATGGATATTCCAAGAGCAAGTTACCATCTAGCCCTGTTGTAGAGCCGAGTAGGGCCGAGTAGGACCGAGCAGGGCAGAGTAGGGCAGAGTAGGGCCGAGCAGGGCAGAGTAGGACCGAGCAGGGCAGAGTAGGGCCGAGTAGGGCCGAGTAGGGCAGAGTAGGGCAGAGTAGGACCGAGCAGGGCAGAGTAGGGCCGAGTAGGACCGAGCAGGGCAGAGTAGGGCTGAGTAGGACCGAGCAGGGCAGAGTAGGGCCGAGTAGGACCGAGCAGGGCAGAGTAGGGCAGAGTAGGACCGAGCAGGGCAGAGTAGGGCCGAGTAGGGCCGAGTAGGACCGAGCAGGGCAGAGTAGGGCAGAGTAGGACCGAGCAGGGCAGAGTAGGGCCGAGTAGGACCGAGCAGGGCAGAGTAGGGCTGAGTAGGACCGAGCAGGGCAGAGTAGGGCAGAGTAGGGCCGAGCAGGGCAGAGTAGGGCAGAGTAGGCCGAGCAGGGCAGAGTAGGACGAGCAGGGCAGAGTAGGGCCGAGTAGGGCAGAGTAGGGCAGAGTAGGACCAAGCAGGGCAGAGTAGGGCTGAGTAGGACCGAGCAGGGCAGAGTAGGGCCGAGCAGGGCAGAGTAGGGCCGAGCAGGGCAGAGTAGACCCGAGTAGGGCCGAGCAGGGCAGAGTAGGACCGAGTAGGACCGAGCAGGGCAGAGTAGACCCGAGCAGGGCAGAGTAGGGCCGAGCAGGGCAGAGTAGGGCCGAGTAGGACCGAGCAGGGCAGAGTAGGACCGAGCAGGGCAGAGTAGGGCCGAGTAGGGCTGGTGGAAACACCATGATGTTAAACTACAGGCTCTTTGGAATGTGCTGTGTGTGGTGTGCATCTCTTTACATCTGCCCAGGTCCTGCTTCACCCCCGGGACGAACGCTCGCATGTCACCTGACCTCCTGCCCACGACACGGGGACAGATGGCCCTGTCCTCCTCCGGGTGCACAGGGGCCTCCCGGTGGTCAGGGAGCGGCTCGGTTTACCCACAGGGAGCTCCTGCCATCTGCTGTGGACCTCTGCCCCCGAACACCCTGCAGACACGGGGGCTTGTGACATCAGGGTGTACCTAGCATTAGCACGCTACAGCACACCTAGCATTGCAAAACGCACCACAACAGCTTCCAGGAAAACCCAGACAAGACGTCCAGAGAGCCTGCGTTATGGTGCTGAGGCTGCTTTTTATTCTCTACATTTTTTATTCTCTACATTTTATTCTCTTCATTTCATTTCCAAAGACACGAGGCCTTTGGAAATGAAATGAAAGATTCATTTGGACACTCAAAGACACTTTGCTCATTATTATTCATTCATTCACACACTGTGGTGATAAACTACTACTGCAGCCACAGCTGCCCTGGGGCAGACTGACAGAAGCAAGGCAACCAGACTATGCCATCAGCGTCGTGTTTCCACCTCTGCCCCTCATCTCTTCCTCCATTTAATGTTAATCACTATATTTTGTGCTTAACTAAAACTCAGGACCAAAATGAACAGTTTATGGACCTAAGTGGCTGAGTGGTTAGCAAGGTCCTGGGTTTGATTCCAGACAGGGGCCTCTCAGTGTTGAGTTTTCATTCTCCACACAGAAAGACCCATGTCTGTAGGTTTCCTCCAGGTGCACCAGTTTCCCCTACCCCAATGAACATGTGCCATAGACCTGACATGCGCCCCCTAGAGGCGACCCCACTCCCTGCTCCCATCTCTGTGGAAGGAGAGACGCCTGTGACAGTTGTAAAGGGCTTTGTGAAAGGCGCTATATGAATAAATATTTCTTACTACTTACTATTTATGGATCATATTAGAAAATCATCTTTGCTCGGTTCTGAATTTGAGAATGCATTGTATTCTACTGTAGATGAACTGTTTAACTCTGTCACCTCTAGTGTTTTGAATGTTCTGGATACCGTTGCCCCTGTGAAGGTTAAAATAGTGAAAAATAAGCAGAAGGCGCCGTGGGCTAAAGCAGACTCGGTCAGGGCACAAAAGAGAGAGTGCCGGAGGGCCGAGCGGAAGTGGCGCAAGTCCAACCTCCAGGTTGATTACGAGATCTTCAAAGATAAGTTGTGCGAGTTTAACCAGGTGCTACGTAGTACGAGAGAAAGGTATTTTTCTGAAATGATTGAAGGCTGCAGCAACAATCTGCGTGTTCTGTTTTCAACAGTTAATAGATTAACAAACCCCGATGTTCAAATGCCATTAGAGCTAACTTCCAAACGTAAATGTAATGAGTTTGCTAATTTTTTCAATGACAAGGTTCAAGGCATCAAAAACGCCATTGTCTCCAATCCACAGATAACCATCCAACAGCCAGAAAGGCTCTTTGAGCTAACTTACTTTGCACCTGTAGATGATAAAACTGTCCAAGAGATAATCTCCAGTTTGAGCTCCTCCACATGCAGCCTGGATGTACTACCCACTAGATTTCTGAAGTCTGTTCTGAGCAGTCTGTTACCTTCACTCACACAGATAGTAAACATGTCCCTTCATTCTGGAATATTCCCAAAGGCCCTGAAAACTGCAGTCATCAGGCCCCTGCTAAAAAAGAGCAGTCTGGATGCTACGGTACTTAACAACTATCGTCCCATCTCAAATCTGCCATTTATGGGGAAACTCCTTGAGAAAGTTGTCTACCTACAGCTTACTAGATTTCTTATAATCAACAACTCATTTGATATGTTTCAGTCCGGCTTTAGACCCCACCACAGCACTGAGACTGCTCTCGTTAAGGTTACAAACGATATCCGGCTGAACACTGACGCAGGCAAAGTCTCAATCTTGATCTTGTTAGATCTAAGTGCTGCCTTTGACACCGTCGACCATGAGATCCTCTTACAGAGACTAGAGGACTGGGTTGGCGTCGCTGGCACCGCCCTAAGTTGGTTTAGGTCTTACCTTAAAGACAGGAAGTACTTTGTGGAGATTGGAAACTGTGTCTCAGATCATAGGGCCCTGACCTGTGGAGTCCCACAGGGGTCGATCCTGGGACCTCTTCTGTTCAATCTCTACATGCTGCCGTTAGGTCAGTTAATACGCACAAACAAAGTGTCCTACCACAACTATGCAGACGACACTCAGATCTATGTCTCACTGACTGCAGGAGAACATGGACCAGTGGACTCACTCCTTCACTGTATCCAACAGATCAGTGAGTGGATGCAAAACAACTTCCTTCAGCTAAACGCAGACAAAACTGAAATGATTGTCTTTGGTCCCCAGAAACAAAGAGAGAGCGTCATCTGTCATCTACAGTCTCTCTCCCTAAAACCTTCAAACAAGGTCAGAAATCTAGGGGTAATACTGGACTCAGACTTAAATTTTAATAGCCACATCAAATCAGTAACATCAGCAGCTTTTTACCATCTAAAAAACATTGCCAGGATCAAAAACATAGTGTCTAAAGCAGACCTGGAGATTCTTATCCATGCATTTGTCTCCAGTAGGTTAGACTCCTGCAATGGCCTGCTCACAGGTCTGTCCAAACAGACTGTAAAACAGCTGCAGTACATTCAAAATGCAGCAGCTCGAGTCCTGACAAGAACCAGGAAGTACGACCACATTAGTCCTGACAAGAACCAGGAAGTACGACCACATTAGTCCAGTCCTCAAGTCTCTGCACTGGCTTCCTGTGGCTCAGAGAATAGACTTTAAAACAGCTCTGCTTCAGATTCAGATTCAGATTCATTTATTTGCCATTTGCAGTAAAACCACATTGGAAAAACTGTGCAAGACTACCCCGGTGTGCACCAGACAGAGGAGACGACACACACCAGAGCTCTTGCCACGGCGCCATCTTTACGGCGCCATGCGACAAACAGTAGAATAAACAGCAGAGAGCAATAACACACAGTTTCACAGACAGTTGGATAGACACATTGTGCCTTGTATAAAGCACGGATTTTTTCTCGGGATGAAGCACCTCCTACAGCCGGCCAATGTGGCTGTCAGAGGGGGGCGGGGTCAGGGAGGGGGGTGAGTCGGAAACACAGTGAGGAGTGGAGGGGAGGGAGGGAGCAAGGTGGATAGAGAGGGAGGCGGGGGAGACGGGATCCGAGCTGGAGACTGAAGTGTGAGATTGTTGTAGATGGGGACCTTTTTGTTATTATGGCCTTGGCCCGAGGAATGTGAGATAAGAGTGGAGAGAAGACACAGACACAGCAGGAGAAACACATCGCCTCAGGGGGACAATATTAAATACAATGTCAGGCAGATATTCTATTAAATCCAATTAAACCGAATTGCGGCGCCCTCAGACCCCATACACAGGGGCAGATCCAAGCCGGGTCAGAGAGTTCAAGCCTGACAAACAATGGGCCTCATTCACGAACGGTTCTTAGGAACAGATTTGTACGTAAATCCTACTTACGCGGTTTTTACGAAGAAAGTGGCATTCACGAATATTTCTCGTAACCAGAATTTCTCTTGGGCAAGTACAAATCCTACGAGTCCTCAGGAGCACTCGTACGCATTCAGTGCCGACATGTTCACACGCCGGGGTTGTCCTCTTTGGTGAAGTTGAATAAAAATACAACATTCCAGTGATATGTCCGTCATATCGATGTATGTATTTATTTATTTGTAGTAATCTTTATTAGTAATCTTTATTTATATACCGCCTTTTTCACTGCAGATCTGGCCTACTTTTTAATTCATTTTGAAATGAAATGTACCAACGCTTTATCAAATACATTGGAAATCTTGCCGTGTATTAGTGACCCCTTCCTATTTATAGGGGGCATTTCTTTATCCACGGGCCACAGAACAACGGCATATATACTGCTGCTGCAGGAGGTTACTGGGTCCGCGCTGAGTCTCTGCGCTGGTCTCTCCCATGGATCTATACGGGTCTGCACTGGTCTCTCCCATGGATCTATACTGGTCTGCACTGGTCTCTCCCATGGATCTAGACGGGTCTGCACTGGTCTCTCCCATGGATCTAGACGTGTCTGCACTGGTCTCTCCCATGGATCTAGACGGGTCTGCACTGGTCTCTCTCCATACGGGTCCGTGCTGCATGCTCCTGGATCCATACGGGTCCGCGCTGGTCTCTCAAGTCTGGTCTATGCGGTCTATCTTCGGTCCGCGCTGGTCTCTGCGCACCGGTCTCTCCAGTCAGGTCACTACAGTCTATGCGGTCTCTCCAGTCAGGTCACTCCAGTCTATGCGGTCTCTCCTATAGGTCCGCGCTGGTTTCTGTGTGCTGGTCACTCCAGTCTCTCCTCGGGTCTGCATTGGTCTCAGCGCTGGTCCGTGCTGGATCTCCTCCCAGGGTCCAAAATATTTTGAGATTAATCTCAAAACATTTTGAGATTCATCTTTAAAATAATACATAATATATTTTTAAATTAAGCTCATAACATTTTGAGATTAATCTCATCATATTCTTAGATTAATCTAGTTCGAAGCTAGTTCGACTTTTTTATCATAATATTTCGAATTTTAAGTCAACATTTTATAACTTTATTCTCAGTCTGGTAAAAGAAGAAAAAAGGGTGACTCTTTTGCTCTGTGTAACTCTTTGCTTTAGGCCTGTTAGGCCGTCTGCACACGGCCCTGCAGTCCCTTATATGGGCATTAGTGGGCGGTTACTTATGCTAAGTACCTATGCTAATGAAGCACCTGGCACGCGCGCTGTACTTACGAGGAAATGGGATTCATCTATCTGAGAGAACAGCTGCGAACAATTCAGCGGCTTACGAGTGCGTTGATGAATCCCACGTGGGGACTTCTTAGAAATCTACTTAAGGACGACTTGAGAAGAAAGTTGAGTAGTTTCTTACGAAGTTATTCGTGAATGAGGCCCAATGTCATTCAATCTCAACTCCAGAGTCTTATGTCCATCGAGTGAACGAGCTGCGAGGTCTTTAACCAACTGTTCCACCAAAACCACTCTCCTTTGTCCAGCCACGGCACTCTCAACCACGACACGGCTTAGCTCCTTGTACATCCCATCAATTTTGTCGGCCAGCAGCTTGTGAATCTTGCGAACTGCCATGCCTCCGAATTTGTGGTAGAAGAGAACTCCTCCAAAGCCAAACAGGAGGATTCCCACCACCAAA